GTGCGTTAGCTTTCATTGTGCATTCTGAAATAAATCAGTGGCTAAGCGTGTGAAAAGAAAACAGATATTATAAGTCAGCATGCGTACTATCCGGTTATAAGGTTTGAGAGTGCTATAAGCCCCTGCACCGCCTCAAGAAGTTGTAAAGAGACAATTTCTTGACCACCTACATGTATAAGCTCTACAGGTACAAGTGTAACATACAGGCTGGGCGTCATCACAATGAAAAAATAGACCCCAGTTAATTGATCACTTCCCTTTATGCAGCTGATTTTATCCATTGCAAGACACAACTTATAGGAGGCCAGCTTATAAAATATGTGCAAGCTTGAGATAATAATCGTAATCATATCATTAATCTGTCCGAGTAAAATTAGCGATGCATGTACATGTTGTTACCTTAGTTATCTTCAAACCATTTCAGTTTACAGGTTTTCAGTAAGTTAAGAGCAGTGCAGGTCAACACAGTCTACAGGCATATAGATTAACCGGAAATCCCAGGTAACGTTTATTCTTATTGGGTGATATGGCTGAGTCGATTGCATTTGTAATGCTGATTGGTTGGATATGGCAGGCATTCCATATTTAGAAACTGGGAATCCCCTCCATATTTACCTATACAAATACGACCATATTGGAGAGTTTCATAGTTTTACTTTAAGTTTCTCTGAATAACATTCAGTCTGACTTAAGGTTTACATCAGAGGCGTCGGGCCCAGGAATAAAAGACGCCAAACTACACGCAGTACAGCGTATTTGTGAGTGAGATCTTTTACCGCTAGGGAGGTCAAGTCAACTTTGGAAGTTACATTAATATCAGCCAGACTGATATTTTCTGACAGAGCAAATAATGAGTTTTCCCAATTTTTTTAAATCAAGCAAGCCAATCAAGAGCTATTAAATTTACAAGAATTGTAGTCGGCCACGAATTTTGATTAAGTCTTGTATGCAAGCATATGTAACAGTTGAAGCCAAATAATTATAGATACAATATTTTCTGGAATTTATCCATTATTTCCATGGCAACCTTTGCTAAATGTCATTAGCGATCAATACTATTTTTTTTTTCAACCTTAAGGCTTCAGAATCACTGCCCAAAGGCTACTCTTGGATGAAAATGATTCTAAAAAATGCGCCATCATAAAAACAAAAACGATGGCTTCTAATGTATCCGTTGCTATGGAAACTGTCGCTATGATAGCTGTTGTTATGGTAACAGTTTAAGTTATTTTGTAAACATAATCATGAATTTTTAAACCGAATATGAAGTGGGAAACAATCTTGGTACTCACTATATGAATTTAAGTTGAATAGTAAACAAATACAATGTCACTGTTGCCATGACAACCAATATTACAGTGGCACTTGCATATACGATTTTAAGGTTTAACTAGTATAAAATGCCAGAATGCACAATGAAAATAAGTAATATCCGATTTTGGTAAGTTATCATTTTGCCAAAAAAATTTCATTGATACTGGACATCATAGCATGTAGGTAATACAAAACCAGTGAGATTTTTGTAGAGACCGCCGTATCGTAATGGCAGGTTTAGGAATCTGTGGAGAGAAAATAAATACTACGTTTGTTCACTTTTGTTTGACTGTCATTAACTGTACTTTGTTTGACTGTATTTTTTAATCAAGGGTTCATTGGTCCGAATGTTCTATAGTGAACATTCCGACCAATGAGCGATGTCACCTGACCTCCCTACTGACGCACTTTTCAGGACTGCAGTCAAAGCGAAAGGGGCGTAGTTCGGGAAGTCGAAATAACGCGACAACAAAAGAGAGTTTGTTCTCGTCAAGTGCAAGGTATGTGGTTTGTATCTACTTATCTCTCATCCTTCGGCTGATCTTTTGGGGTAAAAAGAACATCTACCAAGTCTACTAGTATTTATGTAGTGTTAATTTTAATTAAAATGCGTGACTTGTGTGACTTTGTGGAGAGGAGGGGTACCTGTTTCAGGGGTGTATGCAGGATTATTTGAAGGGGTTCTGATTTTTCTAGGAATGACAGGCCTCGGATGCGAGTCCGATCCCCGCCCACTTGGCCCCGGAAACTTTTGGTGTTTTGAAGGGCAAACGGTGCCATTTGGTACAGTTTAGATCTATGATTCAGCTAGTCAAATTTTTATTTCAAGGGGAAAATATTGGTGTGATTTTTTTTCAGTAACCGAAGGTGTGGCCCCCATGATCCCGCCCCCTTAATCCGCTGGTGTGTTCGTTATCTTGCTGGAATGATGCCCGAGCTATTTTAAACGATTATAGAAAAGTCGTGAAATAAAAATTCTCAATTTTAAATAATAGATTTTCAATAAAAATTCTCTTATTTTTTCAAAATATTCCATCATATGACAGGAATGGTAGTCCTGTGAATGGAAGTTCAGCGTCTTAAATGATTAATATAGGTAAGGGTTAGTCGAAGTTTTGGGGTTAGTATATAGTATATTGGACGAATGTCAACTGCATAAAGTAATGGGGAACGGACTACGATTCACATTCCAGCCACGACAGAGTCACCAGAGTTTTTTAATGAAATATCATGGCTTATTTCTTCATTTTTCTGCTTCTTTTTCATAGAACTGTACTGTTATGCCATTTAAATCTTCTTTCTTATTAATACGTTCATCTTTTCTCTCAAACTATTTCTTGGCGTGGGGAAAATAATGGCATCGTTCAAAAGAACAACGTATGTAACCATCCAAGGAAATAATCGGAACATTTACGCTTTATGGAACGTGTCAATATACACAGTAAACGGCTACCTGTATCAACCTTTTAATGTATCTACCGGGATTATTAATAAGTAACCCCTATATTACTGTTTTTGTGTTTTTATTGACATGTTTATACAATGTGTCATCGTCTTTGTGCTACACTGTACTACACATGCACCAAATACCTTATGATTACTGAGAAATTGGGTGTTTTTCAGAGACGGAAATTCCACTGTTGACAACACATCTCGTCCCCATGATCTGTCTTGAAGGCATTAAAAAATTATCCAATAATGGACTCGAAAGAGGTAAGAAAACATTTATATACATGTATTAATCATTATAGGACAGAAACCTTTGTTCGAATTATATGTTATACTGAAAATATAATAGCTTTCAACATTTTAAGTCCCCAAAGGGATGCTTCACAATGTTTGTGTCATTTATTTCATTATGTCATTTTTGTTATAAGGGCACCGATACAAATAATACCAGTTCGAGCCACGAAATGGCAGCTAGCCACCACTTGTTGCAAGACTTCTCCTCGCCAACTGGACACAGACAACATGTACAACCACAAGAATACGGGCAGCAAACTTTAGGAGCTACTTCTCAAATCTCCAGTCCATTACACCCAGTACAATTAAATACAGGTGGGTCCCTTGTATAAAATTACATCTGTTAATGATTAATCGATAATATCACGCAATTCCAAATTTTTGTCAACTGACTCCCTCTCTACCGTGCATGTAACTATGTCTAGAATTCACATGTCACGAGAAAGGGTACCTGACCTTTTATCATATCTTTATCATGTCACTGGGTTCAAGAGACGAGGGACCCCTCAGCAGATTCCATGCTCTTTATTCTTCCGTAGTTGATTGGAGGCCACGTGACAGCCAACGTAAAATATAGGTTACAGCGGGTACATGGGTAAATTAAAGTGTGTACGGCAATCAATGCATGTGGATCGAGCTTTTATCTGATATGGTTTTGCAACCTTTTAAACCAATGCAATAAATGATAAGGCAAATCAGGTTGGTTAGTTACATGTAAATTATTACTTCGAATTCAATAAAATGATTTGTTAACATTTATCTTGTGATGTCCCGGAGTCATTATAAAAGAGAAAGGTTACTTGTTCATGTGAATGTCAGTTTTACAATGTGTGTGTATTATTACTATTATTATTTTTTAATGAGGAAATATTGAAATTAAGTTAAATTTAGTTTGATTTAAATATCAAGATTTTTTCTTCAAATGGGGAGCTATGACTTTTCCATATTAAAATTCCTTAGAAAACTCATCGAGAGAGACTATATGAGGTCGTGGCCGCTGTTTACTTGTATAAGCAGTGGGCAGTAACTAAGAAGAGCACATGCTTTCTATTTTAAAGAATACAAAGAATTAAAATGTGACATCAAGGAACCAGAGCCAACCTTTCAAATATCACGAGCCATCAGATGAGAGACAAAAATAGTTGAGAAGAAGGTGTGACTAATAGTAGAAATATAAACGATAAATATTTTTCATTTCATTTATCAACTCAAACTGTATATGTCCCTATCTACAAATATTCCCAGTGGTTACCAAGGCGCTAAGTATGAAATAATTCATTGTCATCCGGGCTTTATAGACCAAAACAACTCGAACGTTAGCGGGTGGTGTTCAGTGAATCCATTGCGAGAGAGTGGCAGTGTATTATTTGGCAGACACTTTCCCAGAAAAAAACACCGAACAATGCATATGTCGTCACAGTCACATAATATTTCTAGGTGTGCAAAAAAGGACATGGAAATTGGAAATTCAAAAGGGGGCGATCCATCCAAAAGATCGCATTTATATCGTCTTTGATGATATATCAGGTAAGAACAGAAAGTTAATTTGTCATATGGCATTTATTGTGTCAAGTGTGAGTTTTATGTAGATATTACAATAAGTATTCGGACACATAAATCCAACACTCGTGTCCATCGAAGTGTCATTGAGCAATCGTCTGGTTCTTATATTGTTCAAGTAAAAGTTTTTAACTGTCATCAATTATGGTAATTGATCATAGAAATTGTTGGTGATGCTCTCTTCGAAGGTGTTAAATAAGGTGTTTTTGACAAATTGTCTGAATATCAGCAATTATCGTAGTAAAACTGATGCTGCTTCTGTAACTTGTTATTATGCCAGTGCCTTAATGGTACAGTGCCGCCGGAATC